ACCATGTTACCAGTCCTCAGCAGTGGCGGATTTACCATGAAACACATTGTGCAGTGGCACGGGGCCCCTAACGATTGGGGGCCCCAAAATGCAGGACAAATCTGACAAATGACCGAATGTAATAAGTGTTGCAAGTCGCAAAGCAGTCCAGGCTTTCTGCATTCTGCAAACTTATTTTGCGAACAGTGGAAATGTGGTTTTTTGAAGTAGTCTAGCAAAGAATTTTGTTTCACCATTTTTTCGCTGTCTTGGCAATAGCATAACAGCAACTCGTCATTTGCCAATCAAAGTCTGTCTGCTTGATCAATTATCCAATTGAACAAAAGCACCCTCCACTGCACTTCGCAACAATGCCTGTAATTTGTCACTAGTATGTAATGGTTCAAAATCCCATTTTTACAGAGTCCAATAAAAACACGGGATTAACTGTGTTAAACCTAATTGGGCGGTCCACAGCCCACACATGACTATGTCCCTGCTCTTTCATACATTTATAATCTGCCTAAAATCAAGGTGAGTTTTTTAGCAATAATCAAGTGACACTATGAGTCTGGCAGTCAAAAATGCAAAAAAAGGAAGGCGAGGTAAGAAGACAAAGCTAAGCAAAAAGAGAGTTTGTCATCTCATTTTAAAAAGCTTGAAGTATTGAATAGTGGACAGTTATCAAAAAGTATGGGCGCGGAAACATCTGAATTATCTGATCACTTGCCAAGTTGTGGGTATACCACAACGATTGCAAAAGTTGAACAAGTGGACTCTAAAGTGACAATGGAACTACAAAATATTGGTAATTTTGTCAAAGTAAGGGAAGAAACCTTCCCTGAAGACATTGCATTATGGCCAAAATCTGTTTAATTGAATATGATAGAATATTTCTTAGTAAATTAACTGGAAAATTTGAGAAAAGAGTAGAGGTTGCAGGACAAAAGCAATTTATAGGTGTTCAAGAGTCCCATTTTCTGAGCATGAAGAAAAATGGGATGACAGAAATGAGAATTTGGTTGATTTTTTGGGTGGGGGGGTGGGGAGGGGAGACCGCTAAGGCAGTCTACTGTTTTATATTTGCAAATTATTCCCTATAGTAAAGAAAAACAAACATTATTTGATGGGCACGCTAATTGGAGAAATGTTGCAAGACATATTGTTGATCATGAAACTTTCAAAGCTCACATTAATGCTACGTGTAAGTTCATTCAAAGGTGTAAGAATTGATTTGTGTTATCGGCTCAGTTTGAATAGGAGTGTTCTTATTGGAGGAAAGTGCTGAGATGTGTTGTTGCCACAGTCAAACTGCTGTCTTCTTTGGGACTACCTCTAAGAGGACATAATGAGTCGTCATTGTCAAATTGAAAAGGTAATTTTTTAACCTGCCTTGAATATCTTAGTGATTTTGATGATTTTTCTCAAAACAAATTGAAAAATTATAGTATTGTGGCTCAGGGAAGAACATCTTTTTAACGCACCAAACCTACGATGAATTCATCACTATAATGACAGAGCGGCTCAGAAACCAATTCACTGATGAAATAAAGGATGCCGAGTACTATTCCATAATGGTCGATTCAACACCAGATGTGAGTCATGTAGACCAATTAACGTTATTTTTAAGATATGTGACTGGCAATGGTGAAGTTGTAGAGCAATTGCTTTGTTTTGTCCTGCTAAAATCCTGCACTTCTGAATGTCTAGAGACAGCTGTTTTGGAAATAATTGCAAATTTAGGTTTGGACATCAAAAATTGCCACGGCAGAGCTTTGATAATGCCGCAAATATGGCAGGAAAATATTCAGGTCTACAGGCAAGACTAAACAGTACAAGCCCCTCTCCTTCACACCATGTTTCAGCCATTCCTTAAATTTAATCTGCAATGCTGCAGCTGAACCTTGTGAGGGAGCTACTCATTTTTTTAACTTAGTTCAAAATGTGTATGCCTCTTTTTCGGTTTCCCTGCATTGGTGGAGTATGCTACAATCATGCTTGGAGCAGGCAAATGAAAAACATTTGACAGTCAAAAGAATTTGTGACACCAGGTGGTCTGCTCATGCAGATGCTGTTTTGGCTTTGAAAATGAGCTATGATGATATAAAGAAAACCTTATTAGACATAGCCACATCAAATTCTGAAAAATTGCATGCAAAAACTGAAGTAAAATCTTTAACAGAAAAGTTTGAAAAGTACAATATTGCTGTTTTTACTCTTTTGTGGAACTGTTTATTTCAAAGAATTAATGCCATCAGCAAATTGCTGCAAAAGGTTGATACAAATTTATTGAATGCTGCACAATTGTTAGCCTCAGTTAAAAGTTTTGTCATGGAAGTTCAAAATGGCTATAGCTCGGTGGAAGCAGAGGCACTAACATTAACAGAAAATATAGGTTCCTCTGATGTATCTGATGAGAAGTGTAAAAAAATCAGGAAGTTATTTTTTGATTAAACTAGAGAGAATTAAATCAATTTAAAAGGGAAAGAGAAGATCATCGTTGAGATTGTCAGTGTTGTTTGTGGCACAATAATAGTGCAATTGCAGAGTAGAGGTAAATCTCTAAAGAAAACTGATTTATTTTGTGTGTTTTTTGACAGAAGTATGGACAAAAATGCTAAAAGCCACTACAGTAAGAAATTAAGTAAATTCTACTTAGAGGACATAGAGACAAATCTTTTTGAAGATGAAGCGAAACATTTCATTCATTTTATTGAAAATGATGAGGTTTGTGCTTCAAGATCACCAGTTGATTTGTATAGACTTGTATGCGATGGTTTGCAGGCAACCTTTCCAAATGTAGAAACCATTCTGAAAATATTTTTAACAATACCTGTCACAAATGCTTCTGGTGTACATTCTTTTTCTGTATTGAAACGAGTTAAAAATTATTTGCGAAATACAATGAGTCAGGAACATTTGACAAGTTCGGCAATATTGACAATTGAAAGTGCCTCTTTACAAAATATTACTTATGATGACTTAATTGACGATTTTTGTAAAGAAAAAGTGTAGAAAAAAGCTATCTGATTTTTTTTTTCCCCAAATTGAATAAGTTTCTTCAGAGGAAGTTAACTTTTATTTTTCCATTCATGCATCATCTATACTTTTTATTTTTACATATTTTTCATGTTCGCGTAATGCAAATACAAACTTTCATCTAGACCAGAAGTTCTCAAACTGTGGTCCGAGAACTCCATTCAGGTGGACCAACGAAAGGTTAAGTTTTTGTTTTTTTTTCTATAAAGTGTTTTTACCCAAAGCACTTTACAATAGTTAGCTAATGGTACAAACAACATTTGGAAAGATCATTAAGTGGTCCACCGAGACCCTCAGCAATTTTCAAGTGGTCTCTGGGGAAAAAAAGTTAGACTCCAAAACAATCAAGGTATCACACTTTATTTTCATTTACTTCCTATTACTTATAATATAGGAGGAGGATGAAGAACAAAAGAATGAAAAATGGGGAGGAGATAAGGGAGAAGGTTCTTTTTCTTGGTTGGGTTCTGGGGCGGGGGCGGGGCAAAAATGAAGCTGCGCACATGGCCCCACTAACTCTAAATCCGCCACTGGTCCTCAGTCACCTTCTGGACAACTACTAAAGGTCACTTCCTCCATTTCTGAAACAAAAAATTGTCCGCCATACATTCCAAGAATTGATTGAAAAACTTGTGTTTTGCCAATTACTTTTCCAACAGATGTTTGGGTAGTTAAAGTCTCCCATTACTGCCAGGTCTTATGCCAGTGCTCTGTCTACACTCGCACCATTGGTATCACTTGTGGAGCTGCAATGGTGGAAAAGTCTTGTGTAAACTCAGCTGTTTGTATTAAAGATACTGTATTGAATATACTGTATTTGGTACAAATTAGTCTTTAGCTTTTAACATGAATATTGGTTTTCCCAGAGAATTCTCACTAAGAAGTTGGGCTTTATTTTTTATCTGTACTGTGTAAAACGTTTTTGGCTTCAGAATAGGGTATTTAGTGAGTGATTTCAAGACTTCTTGTGGCTTAATGTTTTGCCAGATTCTTAATATTATGTTCTTGAAGTTAATATACTACTTTAAAAACATGAATGTTCTCAAATTCTTCTGGATTGTGGGTGCAGAGTAGGGAACACTGTTATGTCTAGATTAAATAACTATCTCAGAAGGAAAGCATCAATGACCTTAGCCCTAGTAAGAAAACAAATGAGTTGCCAGAAAGAAACAGATTTGTCTGTCCTTGCATATTAACAAATTTCCAGTCATGTAAGCTGTTAATGAAAGCTGCAAACCCAGCTAAATGTGAAGATAAAATCGGTTTTTAAAGTAGCCGTTGAAAATGCTTAGCAAATGAAGTGCGGGATTTTATTGTTTGCATTTTTGCTTATTTACAAGAATGTCCAGTTATAAAATGCTAAGTAATCTGATAATATATGAACTGTGATAATCTTCCAAAGTTTTCCAATGTGACGTGACTAATCTGAACTTCAGCACACTATTCAGAAAACAATAGTTTATGTTCATCTTGCAGTTTTTGCATGACCTTAGATTTAAAATCATATACTATTTTTTCATTAGAAGGCGTTGGATGTGGGTAGATATACACCTCTACCCTGCTATAACATTACCCGCTATAACACGAATTCGGATATAATGCGTAAAGCAGCAGCTCCGGGCGGGGGCCGGAGGGGCTGCACACTCTGGCGGATCAAAGCAAGTTCAATATAACGCGGTTTCACCTGTAACACAGTAAGATTTTTTTTGGCTCTTGAGGACAGCATTATATCAAGATAGAGTTGTATTAGCAATTTGAGACAAATTTCTGTAGCCTAACAGATGCGGGGAAACATGAATCTTGTTGTAAAATGCGAAGTTGCCCTTTTTATTTTTGTAAAAGACAACCAGATGCTGTGCTGTGAGTTAGTGTGTGACAATGTACTTTCCACCTGGTACAGAAGCTCTGAGTAATGTGAGCTACTTGTCTTTTTTCCGTGTGGATTAGTGATGTACTTAATTTTCTTTCTTTTCTTTATTAAGCCAAGGACCCCTGTCATCCATTAGAGCAGCAATCAAGAGAAGTAAGTCTATTTTTCTTCTACTCTTGGGTATCTTAATTTCAAATTGCTGCATCTTCATTTCCAGCAAGTGGCTACTTTTTATGAGAAGATTAAATGACTAAACAAAGGTAAGTTTATAGAATCATTAATCATCTGACAGACTGTAACCGTTTTTTTGCTTTGCCTCATTTTGGACCAGGGGTGGGCAAACTTTTTGGCCCGAGGGCCACATCGGGGAATAGAAATTATATGGCGGGCCATGAATGCTAACAAAATTGGGGTTGGGGGTTCGGGCTATGGGGTGGGGCTGGGGATGAGGAGTTTGGGGTGTAGGAAGATGCTCTGGGCTGGGACCGAGGGGTTTAGAGGGCGGGAGGGGGATCAGAGCTGGGGCAGGAGGTTGGGGGTGGGGAGAGGCTCAGGGGGTGCAGGGTCTGAGCGGCGCTTACCTCAAGCAGCTCCCAGAAGCAGTGGCATGTCCCTTCTCTGGCTCCTATGCAGAGGCACGGCCAGGTGGCTCTGCACGCTGCCCCATCCGCAGGCACCACCCCTGCAACTCCAATCGGAGTGGGGCCAAGACACGTGGTCCGGCCCTGACCCAGTGCCCTGACTGGGGCTGAGACGCTGATGCGTTCCTGACCAAGCACCCGGGCCGGAATGGAGCCGAGACAAGTGGTGTAGCCCCTGACCGTGTGCCCCGGCCGGAGCGGGGCCGAGACGCATGGTCTGGTCCCAACCCAGCGCCCCGGTTGGAATGCCGGAGCGAGACCGAGCCGCGTGGTCCATCCCTCAACCCAGTGCCCCGGCTGAAGCGCCGGAGTGGGACTGAGCCGCATGGTCTGGCCCCAACCCAGCTGAAGCGCCGGAGCGGGGCTGAGCCATGTGGTGCGGCTCGCGGCCGGCTTAAAATGGCTCGCAGGCCGTAGTTTGCCCACCCCTGTTTTAGACCATATCTCCCAGTTGCTGCTGAGTTATTTCTTCTTGCAGAACACTAGCATTTCTCTTATCTGTGCATTTGTGCTGTGAACTGTGTATATCTGATTCTGAAGAACCTGGCTGTTAGTTGCCTACTTTAACTTGGTTGATTGGTTCGAGCATCTTCCTGCTTTCATTGAAGTCAGTGGCTTCAATGAAAACTTACATTGACTTTAATGGGAGCTGGGTTTGGACCCATGAATGTGGTTTCATTTTGGGGTAGAGATTTTGTTTTTAAGCCTTGGATGAAAGTCTAGTCTATGCCTCGCCTAACTTCTCTCTTTATCTTCTCTTTCTGTCCTCTTATCCCACCCATAACGTTCTCAGATATTCACTTCAGTTGGAATCATCCAAAATAATGTTTTCATCCCCCTGTGTTTCATGTTTGTCTTTTGCCGACAGATTTCTGAAATGCCAGCTAATATCTTCTCTTCAGCTATATGTACACTAGTGTATTTTTTTCCTACTCAACTTCTCCACTGTCGCTATCACTGATCCATCTCCCCCTGTACTAGCCATCGTGGGATCTCTAGTATAGACAGGGCACGAGGTGCTGAGCAGCACTGTAAGCACTGTGTTGCTAACTGCTCAGAACAAGTCTTCATGATACTATGCTTAACACGCAGCACCTTGTATACACTGGTGCTGCCATCGTTATTCCCATTTTACAAATGAGGAATTGAGGGACTGAGATTGTGGCTCATCCAGGGTCACGCAGGAAGTCTACTGGAGCCAGGAATTGAATCCAGATTGTCCACGCCCCAGTCCTTTGTTTTAATTACAAAACCATCCACAAAAGCATTACACAATTATGGAGTAACATTTCACAAATCCTAGACATATAAAGGCAGTTATCCAGGGGTAGCACGTATAAAGGGCTTGGGGAGGTTAAGCCTCCCCCAAAATAAAAAAGGCTAGCCGTGCTGGGGGCAAATGCTGGACGCAGCGTGGGTCACATCCTACGTACCTCTCCTGAGCTCTGCCCCTGCTCCGCCCTGAGGCCCCACCCCCATTCTGCCTCTTTGCCCCCTGCCTGCCTCTGGCGTGGTGCTCTGGCACTGCTCACCCACAGGCACATCTCCAGGCTGTCCACAGCGCTGTGCTCTGCCAGGTGGGGATCCCAGAGCAGAATGCCAGTGGGGCTGTCTCAATGCGGCTGCCAGCACAGCCCATGGGCCTGTGCCCAGCTCCCCTTGGCAGTGACCTGGGAAGGCGGCAGTGACCTGGGAAGGCAGCACTTCCCTGTGCCCCTTGGCGGTGGGGAACTGAACGAGCCTTGCTGCCCTCCCCGATGCAAGGGGAAGTGGTGGCAGCCGTGGACCTCCTGCCTCCCTACAAGCTCCCCAGGCAGCCATACACCTGAGCCGCCTTGGCCCCCCTCCCCCCGGCTGCAGCATGGGCTCTCCCCTTCCTCTACTAGGGCCTCACAGGGTGTGAGTGGGAGGAAAGGACAGGACTGAGCCCTGGGGGGCATGGTGGAGCAGCAATGAGCCCTGGGTAGGGGGCAGTAAGGAGCCTGGGTGGAGCCAGGGGTGGTGGTGTTCGGGGCAGTAAGGAACCCAGGGAGTGGGGGTGAGGGGCAGTGAGGAGCCCTGCAGCACAGCATAAGGCCCAGCACCAGGCAACGGAGTGAGGATGGGACCTGGGGGGGGGCGGGGAGAGAAGAGG